ATATATATATATATATATATATATATATATATATATATATATATATATATATATATATATATATATATATATATATATATATATATATATATATACGTGTGTGTGTATCCATGTATATTTATGCAAATACATCCAACACCACCAACACACACCTGAACACTGGCGGCTTTGACTGTCACGGTGGGCAGGTTTGCGGATTGCGAGGGTGCCAGCGTGGCGATATTTACAAAGGCTTTGCGCACGCCTTGTTCGTTGGTCGCCATAATGTTGCGCTCCTTTTCTCTGCGTTCCTCTTCCTCCTTCTCTCGTTGCTGCGCCTCGAGTTTTTCTTTTTGGACCGTTTCGGACCGAATTTGCCACCAATCCTGAGTGATATCGAGTATCGAGTCAAATGTGAGTGGGCTAGAATCTGAAGAGTACTGCGCCCGTAGTCACTCTTTTTGGCACCAACCAACAAGACACACACTCGTGGCTTTTGCAGCATGTGTGCATCAGTGATACAGCTATATTGCTAGACGACGTCCTCGATGAATGAGGTCGAGATAAGAACTGTGTGTCACAAAGGCACCTAGGCAGTGGGTCTCTTCCGTCTAATAATAAAGCTATTTGGGTGAAGATAAGGATATAATATTCTAGACCATCCGAAAGACCACAAAACTTATATTCGTTGTACGTTTTCTATGTATAATATACGTATTCATGACCAAAATTTTATATCTATTAGTTATGTAAAATACTGATGAGAAATTTCACGCACAAATGTAAGTTGGCGTATATATACAAACGGGTTCTACACCTACGGATGTAGATTGTGCCGACACGAATGTAGCATCTACGTGTCCTAGCTACCTGATCGTTGTTAATCGCCGCACTTTCTAACTCAATATCCTCCTCGTCTGGGTCTTCATCGAAGTCTCTCACTTTGATCTCTGCGAACACAAGGAGTCAAATGAGCCAATCTGAGAGACGACATTCTATCTATAGAAATTCTATCTTAAAAATTGCATCTGATCTATACAGCGCTTTGATCTCTGCCAATACCACAACGGAGTGCAAAAACCAAAAACTCCTTCGAAAAAAGGCATTCACAATTGAGTAGGTTGGTGGGCACAAACATTGCCTCAGCGAAAGTTGCGTACATATTCGATTGGCGTATGGTCTATATCTCTAGTAACTACATGGTGGCATGAGTTGAGGGAGGCTATTCTAATAATTCGTAAAATGGGACGCAGCTACCATTGAGCTGTAATATCTGCCCACGAATGAGATCGAATATTAGATTCTACTTCGAATCACCAATTATCACTGATCGTCTCGATATCGAGTCTATATGCACCGCACAAGTGATCGTCGACACTGGTAAACCATACAGAAACATATTCCGTATATCCCACGTGTGTCTGGATACACGTGCGCTTGTTCGTACCTCGCTTAACGGCCGTTGGTACTTTTTTGGCTGCAGCTGGCACTGCTTTAGCGACTGGCTCGGCTTTCGCTTCAGATTTGACCGTGTTCAGTGAGGGGGACGAAGATCCGGGCTCGTCTGTGTCGAAATCTGAAATTTACAATAGAAAATTGAAAAAATGGTCTTGCATGCAAGGAGATACCAAGTGCAAACATAACAAAAACCCTGGCAATTGTGATGATAGGATGAAGAATGTAAATACAGCATACTATCTACGCCTGCGGTGATGCGAACAATTATTATTACATTCTAGGGAGAGATAGTTGAGATATTCGAATCTGGTTTGCCCGTCACTATATTAGCGTGTATGCAATTTTTTGCATACATATATATGTGTTTACCTTTATCCGTATATACATATAAATGTACATACATACAATACATATATATATATATAAGTATATATATATATGTATATATATATATATATATATTAATATGCACACACATATATATATATATTTTATTCACACACACACACACACACACACATATATATATATATATATATGCATTAACATGTATAATTATACACATACACCA